ACATGACAGACGCGCTCCGTACTATTGCGGTAATGCAGAATGAAATGGATCTCTCCGTCCTTTCCAATCAAATGCTTGAATCATCGGCAGCTTCCCTCCGCACAACCTCGTCTCAACACGATCAACTCTCCAGCTACATGACCACCTCTAAGCACCTCGTCACCGCCTTGAGGAATCTCACGGGCTTGACTGTGTTATAATCATATCTGCATTTATATTATTTCTCCTCGTCGTCAATATGATTCTGAATTAGCGCGTCGTGGATCGAGGGTTGAGGATCACTTTTTGGTGGACAAAGTTGATTGCACACATTCAGGGTGTGGATGGGGATGCATGGTCTCTTTTGGCTACAGAAGAGCCGCAACGGAAACACCGTCCCAAGAAGGGGGAAGTCACGAGGCCATCAGGATCATTACTGTTGATTACCGGGGGATCTCAATGAAGTGACGAGCGGTATATGGTTCGACATTCGTTATTGTGAAGCGGTGGTACTTATACAACCAATTCTATGTCATGAGCTCTACACCTACAACCACACTAGCTGTGCTCATGCCTCCACCCCAATCCTATTTCCTTGGTGATTGGATGGCCTGGCAAAGTGATGTCCGTAACAGAGGTGGTAGGTGACAACTGATGGCTCTGCACTTGTTCCAAAGCTTGCTTTGCATACTTCTCAAGATACTTGAAGAGTCTGTTTTTCAATCTGTCCTCGAGCTGTTGTAGCACGGCTATATCCAGGCCCGTGGGAGGTGCCCATGAAAAAACAAGACCACTTGTTCCAGGTAGGCTGAATGTTTGGTTATTCTGTCCCATTGCTTCGCCGAGCTCTTTGCATAACCAGCAACATTTTTTGGCCACACCGATCTTGTTGGCATCCTGCACATGAGTGATCATCAGCAAATACCACAATTTAAAAAAAATGGAGAACAACCTTGAGGATATCAACAAAGCTTGAGGGTAACTCAGTTGCTGTACAGGAGGCTTCTTTGATAAATGCCATTAATGTGGCTTCTGCATGAATCACCCCGGTGAATTTGCCACCAAACCTTTCCAAATCCTGGAGATTTTCTCGGATAACTGGGTCATCGGTGAACTCATCCAACAAAGCACTGGTTGATGTAACTGCTTGGCACTTCTCACTTGGAACCTGTGTAACGGGTAGGACTACGGATCGATCCCTTCATCCATCTTTACTGGTATATTCCCAACTTAACGTATTCCGCTTCAATTGTCACATGGTCACAGTAGTCACACCTGGTTACAATTTTCGCAGTCACACATGTAGTATCTTTATCTTCTTATTCATACATCTTGCACTCGCTTGCAGCCTTCGAGCATCGTCTTCACGACTCGACTACACGCGTAACAGGGATATACTAACGAGGTCAGTAGCATAGTTATTTGTAGTAGGGAGCTCGTGACTCCCTTGAAGTTGAACCTTCTTCTTCCTCCTTCCCCATTATCCGCAGATCATCTTTTCACACCTTTCTGCGGCTTTCCGAGAAAGGAGAGTACGTTTACGCTCGTGGCTTTCCAGAGCACAAGTAACTACTCGCGTAAAGAGATTGATTCTCTCCTCCAATTAGATTCTCGTTAGAAGTCTACACACCAGTGTAGCAACCTTTATCTAGAAACTCGCCAGATTCACTTCGTCGTTGTTACTCGGACCACGCGAATCAGTGTCACTCCTTTAACAGGTTCCTACAAAGGTGGACACTGTGGGATCCAACGACAGCCTGGCCGGCTTAGATACATTTGTGGAAGAGGAGCTTAGAGCGGAAGTGAGAGAAGGTCGATCTGAAGGATCTAGGAAGCAGAGACCTGCTAAGGGAGCTCCTCCTTCGTCGTTAAGTCAACCTACACTCTCCAATCGCTCACGATCTTCCTCCCCAACCAAACCAACTAGGACTCCCTCTGGTTCTATAACAAGAAACCCCCCAACTTCGAAAGCAAGAAGTGTAGCGGGAACTTCTCTTCCTAAAAGAGGGCTCGGAGCGATCCATAAAACATTCAACGACTTCAGCGGTCTACGGGGAGACGCCCCGCATAGAGGGAATTCTGCGATAATAGGTCGAGGACGAGCGGTTGGATTTAGACATCACCCTTTCCTTCCACGATCCGTTACTGATACGTCTTCCCCCTCTTCGAGTTTCCAGCCACGACTCCCTTCTCCGGAGTCCCGTCATACGCCTAACTCTTACCGAGCGTTTGAATTCAAAACCCCCGCTCCTATTTCACCGACTACGGACGTTAGCGTTACCGGAGAAATTCTACCTTCTTCCTCTACATCCCAACAACTCGACACCCCTCCAGCCGTAACCTTAGAATCACCCTATCCTACGAGAGATCATATAGATATGAGTTCGACTATAGAATCTTCGTCACAAACCCTTCGTCTCGAAGCCGAGAGAGGATATGAAGGATCACCTATGGCTAGACTCATAGCACAATACAAAGCCTCAAGTGACGACGACATTTCAACTCATCAACGAGCTATCAACCTTTCTTCGAAGAACTATTTGCTTCAAAACGAGACCGTAGAATTAAGGGGTCCTCAAAGAAGTTACGCCTTAAAACCAGCACTACTCGAGCAGATGGAACAAGTAGTGAGCGAATTGCAGATCTTTTTAGAAAGAACGTCTGCGTTAATTCCCGAACGAACGTCCTACTACAAAGTAGACCCCAAGGATACTTTCCTACCCATATTATGAGAATCTTCAGACGTCCCGCAAATACATGCCGCTTGGCTAGGGCTTACTAGGCGATTACATTTCGCGCAAGAAAATCTAACAAAATACGAATTACAGTATCGTAGTCCCTTGCCGGGAGAAAACGTGTCTATGCCCACTTCTCCTATATCAACGGACGTTGGCATTTATGACGCTATGGAAGATCTCGACAGGTTAGACCTTTGTTTGAGATATTTCTACGACAACGTACCTCATCACCAAGACCAAGTGAGGTCTCCTCAGAAGCTAAGAGACGGAGCTCCTTGGGCCGAGGCTCTCTCATTACCAAACCTTCTGCAACAGCCTTCTCAGAGTAAGCTACCAACCATTGTCGAATACTCGACGGAGCAGCAAGAACCAAAGGCGGATTCTAGGGACAAGAAAGGGAAACGTCGAATAACGGACGAATTCGTTAACAGTCCTAGTCCCCCTGCTTCTCCGCCGGCTTTAAACGTAGGATATGGTACGCCGTTCAAGTCGAGTTCTCAGTTTTTTGTTAGGCCAGGAGGAGTTCCTTTACCGCCTTCAAATACCATGTCTCAACGGAACGTGTTAGTTGGTTTGGGTTTACCACACACTCCCGCGTTTGAGAACATTTCTACTTCAAAAGATGGTCAGCACTCATCAAGGATCGACGCTCCTAGGTCGCGAACGTCTAACCCTTTCGAAGGACGACCCTTACCTCCTCACATGAGTAACGACGTGCGTCAGGCTCGAGACAACCCAGTTCATCCTCCCTCAGGTCATCAAAACACAGCTACCACTGGAAATCCTGTGCAACGTACTAGCGAGGGAGGATCCAGTAGAAATTCCTCCAGAGACCATTCGAGGTCGACGAATAACCGAAGAGAGAGACGCCGTAGCGGTCATCCCGGAGGAGACCCGGATGGATCAGATGACGAGAGCGACGACGATGGACATCCCCCAAGAAACAATCCTGGCAATCGAGGCTCTAACGACCCTCCTTCCAATGGGCCGAATGGAGGAGGCGGCGGCGGAAATCCAGGAGGAGGAGGAGGAGGGCATGACCCATACACGAATAGTTCCAGTCCGAACGCTCAACAACAAGGGAACATCCCTTATGGAAATCTGGTTGCTATGATCAGAAATGAATTGAAACAAGATCAACTACCTGTGTGGGACGGCAATAAAGATACTGCTATTGAATACTTCTGGAAGATCCAGCAACTAGCAGCTTTAGAAGGAGACATCCCTGTAGCGCTTGGATATTGGTTGTGGAAAAGCCTAAAAGAAAATTCTAGAATATGGATGTGGTTTACGACGCTACCGTTCTCTGAGCAATCCAAGATGAGAACGCACTATCTACACTACCTTAAAGGCATCAAAGACAATTATTTGGGACGGACATGGCAGATCACCATGAATAGGAAATATGAAGGCCAGTCCTTCCGCCAAGAAGGTTTTGAGAGAGAGTCTCCTCCAGCCTACATCGTCCGTCGTATCATGTACACTCGGATGCTTGTCGCATCGGATGACGGGGGGCCGACTGAAGTTTATCTAGTTATGCAAAAGGCCCCAATATCATGGGGACCCATCCTGAACCTAGAAACGGTCCGTTCGACGTCTTTATTATATTCAAGAGCGACGGACCACGAATTAGCATTAGTGCATGCCGCGAAGTATGAATCGACAAATGTGCTCACCTCGGATAATTTGCTATACACGCTACGCAAATTGGGCATATCGGTAGATAGGAACCGTCCCTTTGATCGTTCAGCTAAAATGGTTACCTCCACTAATGAAAAGGGGGAGGAAGTAATTCATGAAGCACTTTTAAGTCAGCTTAGCCGAGAGGGATGTTTACAAGAAATAACTTCGGATCCGGAAATTATGAGAGAAGCTTTCGCAGTTTTGAAGAAAAGACAACACCCACCGCCGAAGGGAGGGTATCCGTATAGCAAAAACGACCACGTCACCACCAAGATGGGACGTTTGCCACCTTCTCCTTGTAAGGTATGCGGGAGCCCTAATCACTGGGATAAGGAGTGCCCAGATTGGGCTTTCTATGAAGCGAAGCAACAGAAAACGGCTTACCGGATTGAGACGAATGAAGAGGAGGAACTAGAGGGCTATTATGCGAGCGTATACTCGATTTTAGTCACTGAGCGGTTGGCATCTGAGACCAAGTCATCGTCCGAATCTTCGGATTTTCATAAGGCAGTTCCTCAAGAAAGGATTAACTCCTTTCACAGCGAACGTAAGTCCGACAACAACACCCCTTGGAAGAGACAAGCAGTTTTTATGGAAGAGGAAGAAGACGAATTCTGGGCAGAATATCGACAGAAAGAGAAGTCTAGCTCTCACCTCCTTTATCAAGTTGGCGACGAAGACGATGAATCTCCCCAGAAGGAAGCCTTCTCGGCGTGTACAGAGGATGCCCCATCTTCTCAAAAGCCGGAATCCGATAAAGATCCACCGAGAGAGGTGAAGGACCCTCCAAGAGAGGTGAAAGATCCCCCATGGGAGAAGGATCCCCTTTCAGCTCCACCAGCGAAGGAGAAGCCGTTTAAGATACCCAAAGCAAGGTCTCGTCCAGAAGGGATGTCAGCTATAGGAGTATCCGTACTATCTACGAAGGGCTTTGTGGGAGGGCTGAATAACGTTGAGACAGACTTACGATTAGACTCATGCGCGGACATCACTCTTATATCATACGAATTCTACGAGCAACTGGTCTCAAAGCCTACTATCAAACAAGGTATGAGAATGCAGTTGTGGCAACTCACGGACAAGGATGCACAGCTCAAAGGTTTCGTTCGCATACCGATCTTCATGACAACAATAGACGGAGAAGTATTAGAAACGGAAGCTGAAGCATATGTAGTCCCTGGGATGATGGTCCCAATACTGCTAGGGGAGGATTATCAACAATCCTATGAGCTAGGTGTCACTCGGAACGTAGAAGAAGGGACGCACATATCCTTCGGGCATCATGAGCACAGGGTTCGAGCCATTCCCGTGGAAAGGACCAAGGACTTTACCCGTATGCGGCAGAGCGCGTACATGGTCGGCCAATACGTTCGACGTCAGTTCCATAGGAGAAATAAAGCTAAACGTCACCGTCAGAAAGTTAAGTTTGGCGTAGAGGAAAGAGTCATACGAGCATCAGAAGAAGTCCGTCTGAAACCTCATGAAAGCAAACCCATCCGAGTCGAAGGACATCTTCACGAAGACCGAGAGTGGTTGGTGCAGAAGAATTTGCTAGCCAACGCCAACGACACCTTTTTCGCGGTTCCCAACGTGCTCATTT